AAACTCTTCCTTTGCTGTCATGTTGTATGCATGTGGCAGAACTACTGATCCGATTGAAGATCTGTGTTTCTGTAGGCAGCTTGTGCTCTGCCCTTATTTCCAACAATTTTATTGTGCAACACTTTGTGTAATCTGTGCTTACCCTTAGAAGTCTTGCCCTCCTAGAAGAGAACAGTGTGTCTGTCATCTGTGTCATCAAAAGTGTACTTGGTTCCTTCACTGACATGTCCAGCGCTCGCTTTATTCGAGCCGTTTCTGAACTGGAGCTCCTGGGCTTCATAAAGCCCAGCAAGCAGAAAACTGACCACGTGGCAAGGCTGACATGGGGAGGCTGTTAATGTGCCACCAAGGTGCCAATAAACCTTCCCAACAGAGCAAGGGCTGTGCTCCCACCACACTAGTTCTCACTAACTTTGCATACCGAGTCAAAGTCAGCGGTGTTGAATGTTGTGAGATACATTCTGAGTGCCTGGGCAAGCTTGAATAAGTTGTTTTTTAATGCTCATCTCTGTGTAATGTTTTGCTATATTAATGCTCATGTTCCAAATACCTTATTGTTGTGCCTGTTCAGTCTTTGATGTGTGATACTTAAACAGTCCGCTGATACAACTCAGGCTTGCAAGTCAGAAGGACAGCACGCAGCCACAAAAGTAATGAAGCAGTATTATTAACATCCTTATAAGCTGATAGGATTTGAGTCATTATTATAAAATGCCTCCTAGATCCTTGAACCAGATTTAAAAATAAATAAAACAAGTATGCTAAAGAAGACAGTGAACTTTCACGTTCAGCCTCTGCTGTGTGTTCTTCCAAACTGGTCCTAACTACCTCAAAACTCCTTGAGGAAGAGAAGAGGAGAGAATAATTGTGAAGATGCAAAGCTTTGCCCTTTGGCAAGAGCAAAATTGAACTATTTGAATTCGTTTTTCTAGTTGAAGTTGATGGGTATTAACTGACTTCTGGTAGGAAAACTTGTGTCAGCAGACAGAACATGGCAGTTGTGCACTCGTCTGGAAGGCAGGAAAATCCCCACCTAAAGCACATGTTGTAACCTCCCTCTTTGCCAATGATTTGTGCTGCATGCAGGCAAAGGAACCAGCTGCGTGAAAAGCAATGTAGGCTGAGTGTGTACCAGCACTGCTCATCTGATGATTGATCTTCAAAAAGACTTCTTAAACCAGCCTTGTCCCATGACTCTGTGGAAGGAGCATGTTTATACTGGTGTCTGTGACCTGTGCTTGAAGCATGGGAAAAACCTTAGGAACTGAAGGGGAAAAGCTGCATTTCCCTCCAAAGCAGTGTGTCTGCTGTGCTTTGTTAAATCCTCCATAATCACTTCCATAAACCAGATCTGTACTGGAGAGGGGAAGTCCTGTTACAAAAACCAGTAACTTAGCCAGCTGTTTCCCCAGGAATGTATATGAGATATCAAGCTTGTTTTAAATACACAACTACTACCCTCTCTGAGTGTATTTTCCAGCTGCAGGAATTGCAGTCACAACAACACATCCTGCTGTGTGTAAGTGGGGGTCTGGTTCTAAATGCTGCCAGTCAGTTCAGAAGCGGGAGGAGGAGGAGCTTATCAGACTCTACTGGCAGAACTTGCAACTTGGGAAACAATGACAGAATCCTCAAGAGCATGAATTCTTAGGATCACAGTGGAGCACTTGCAAGTTTCCAGACACAGGTAAAAATTCCCTGTTCTTCCCTGGTGAGCAGGCTCAGGGACCTGTTCAGTAGCACGTACAGACAGCTATCCAGCAGCAGAGAGGAAAGCAAGACATTTCAGCAGAGGGAAAGGCTGAACACCCCTATCCTGAACCTCACCCCATTTATCTCATAAACACACTTGACAAATGAAAGGGAGCAGCACCAAATGTCTCTGTGATGTGCAAGAGGACAGGAGGCCAAGTGTTTTGCTGTGTAGCTGTCTCCTGCCACCCCCCTCCACTAACCTCACCCCAAGTAACTCACACCCCCAGAAGGTAAAACATTCAGAAATAAACAGAAACCAGCCTCAACAGTGTGTGGCCTTTAATCCCCAAATGTGCAGGCAACATGACATTAAAACAGTAAAATTAATAATTAATGGCTGTTTCTTCCCTTTATCTAGTAACAAATTTGTATGGTTAAAATCACATTTGCTGTGCTACATATGGTTTTCTCAGATCAAAGCTTTAATTCTGTATTTGGTGCTTCATTTTCTTCAGCAAAGAGGGTAAGAAGGTTGAACAGTTAAAAAAACAAACTAAACTGGTCATAAATTTAATTCACCTTTCTTCAGAAGCTGGACTTTGCAATCAGTCCTACTTTTCTGGAAAGAGCTTAACATCACTGAATCTGGAATTGACATCAGTAACAGCTGAGACCTCCCTCACATACCTTAGCTGAAACAGATTTCAACTAGAAAATTAAAAATTAGTTTCTAAAAGTGTCTATACAGTAGTAACATGTTATGCAGATCTTCCAAAAAATCTTCACTGTCTGCAATGTTCACTTAAAGAAAACAGGACAAAACTCCCCCAAACTGCTTATGTCTGTAGTAGTTCTGAAATTCTAGTATAAAGCCCCACCTTTGAATTAACTTAGGTAGCCACATCTTTCAACAGAACTACTGCTAAAAATCAGATCCTGAATGCAAATTAACACTCAATTAAAATACTTTTCAAACCCTTTTTCTCTACTGTTATAGATGCTGTTCTTTGACACCTCTTTCCACTACTGCACTACTGGTTTCAAACACCAACTTTGTATTTTTTTTTATCTTGAACCCTACAACAGCAATAAACTGTAAGAACAGCCCAGGTGCCTGTAAAAGCCATTTCATCACTGAGAATGGCTTCCAATACAAAAGTCACAAGCACTGGTTAACAAGAGCATAAACTTTTAATACTTTACCTGCCTCCATTTTTTTATCCCCACTGTGGAGTCAGTAAGCTTAAGTCCTTCCCAATTCCCAACTTGGTAACAAAGAGAGCTTTCACAAAGCAGTTTTTTAAGCAGAATCTGTGGCTGGTCATGCTGTTAAAGAGTACACAGGCAAATCTCAATCATCAGCACACAAGATTGCTTGCATCTCCTTCCTTTGCAAACTTGAAAATTTCTGAATCATCTTATGGTTATATGCTCTCACATCTAGACACCAAAATCAACACGCAGGATGTACTTGCTGCTTTTCAAGTACACAGTAATGGAGATCTGCTTGGAAAGAAAAATTACATCACTATCTTAAAAACAGGTTAACCAAGATCTTTGGTTAAGTTCCAGTTAACTGTTCTCAGCTTATTTGGCTTTTGGCTAAGACTGCAGTTACATACAAATGGCAAAAATATTCTATCTGTGGCCACCTCAAAGTATAGTGCCAAGAACTGTGTGGTTACTGAACTGTACTCATTTCTCCTTGACTCAAAAGCCTTTGAAAAGGTTCTGCAAAGCAGGTTGGTTTTCAAGCACCAGCCAGCTCCTCACAATACCCCAATTTCCCTAGCTTCAACAGCCATCAAGCTGCCAGCCATTTCCTACTGAAGAGTGTATCTCTTGTTAGAACAAGTCTTTCATGTATGATTCATCACACTAGATACTGGCACTGACATTAGGAAAGAGAGCCAGTATGAAGTCCAAGACAGAACAAGCAGCAGGTTAAAAAATTAAAAATTTCAAAGAATGCTACCCCATTTCCAAAACAGGCACAAATTAAGCATACCACAGCTGTGAGATTATCAGCACCCACAGTGCCATGCCTTTCATCTGCTACAAGACTGCTAATTATTCATCAATTTGGAGCAGTACAGGAGTGGCTGAATGCTAGCATGACATCACTTCTAATTTATAAATCTCAATATTCCAAAAGAAAAGAACACAGGAAATATGCAAGATGTAAGAGGATGCCAGAACTTGCATGGCAGTCCACATAGAAGCAGTAATTTTCCTAGCTTGGGCAACTTAATAAAAGGAGGTCAGAAAGTGAGGAGCAGGAAGGAGAGGGACTGAGGACTTCAAGGCAGACAACAGAAATTACAGCCCTGGATAGTTTAATCACCAGTGACAGAAGGGTAGGGATGTCTAGCAGAGATTTCTGATTTCTGGGATTCTGAAAGTAGAGTAGAAATAATCCAAATATTTAGGCAAGATAGGTTTCAGGGAAGTGAGCAGAAAATACTCGATACTGTGGCAATGTGTCCAATTCTGATCTTTCAATCTCACTCCTAAGTGAAAGAGTTGACCAAGCAGCAGAGCTCATGACAAGGTTTCTCTGATACCTTAAGTAAGCATGAGCCAATTACCAAGTTCATCTACCAGCTTCACCTCAAACTCCTCTATTAATCTGAGATGGGACACAGATCTATCACAGAGCAGACTTCTGTTCAACCAGAAGCTTACAGTAAGTTAAGAGAGCAGTTTATAATTAAATGATTATTTTGAAACTGCTTTCTTGTCTCCAGAGCAGGTAACTCAAGGCCTTTGGTAGCAATACTTCCACCCCACAACAGAGATCTAGACTTGCCATGTAGGAAATTTGCAGTGGTTCAGAGACCCAGCACTGCCCAGGCAGCAGCAGCCTGCACCAACACAGCACTGTCAACAGCAGAATGCATCCAACAAGGCTCTCGACCCTTAGCAGGCATTACATACCTTCAGCTCTTACATTAGCTACACTGTTCCAGCTTGCAGTACATGCACCTGCTCTATCTCATGACCAGATTTCCTTTCATATGTGACTAAAATCTGAAGAAAGGCAAGTGCAGCTACAGCAAGTTACATCACCAGTTTTGTGTCCGCTCTGTACCAAACATGCTTCCTCAACATGAAACATTACAGCCTATCTAAGGAAGATTTCTCTTGCCTCAGAAGAATGACCTGAGATTTTAATCCACCTCCTTCTCCTGATCTAGAACTGACCCACCCACTATTGCTAGTAAATAAAGTTTTCATTTAAACACTCAGATTTAAGTTTATTCATACACAGCAAAAGTTCCACCTGCATATTAAAAACAAACAGATTAGAAGTAAATGTTTTATTCTTCCAACTAAATTCCAGTACTACAAGGGCAGTAAAACAATGATACACTGAAAAATTGCAGCAATAAACATTTGTTAAAGACTGATAGAATAAATAAAAACTACAAAAATGAGAAATCATATAAACCCATTCTTAACCCCCAAAAAAGTCATGGAATACAGAAATGCCCTCCTTCACTATTTCACAGGCAGTACTGTGGGCTATTTGCTTAAAATTGTCCTGGGATTACATTCTAACTTAACTGTGATTACAGCTCTGTTGTAGTGCACAGTTATGAAAACCACACTAACTTCAGTCAGAAGTGTCATTCTACATTTTTATTTACACAACCAGTGAAGGGCAACTTCTAGAACACCAGCTTTAATCCTTTACTTTTTCAAACTTATTAACATAAGAAGCCAAATCGTAATGATACAGCAAATGAGGCCACTGGTATTATTACAGGTAGCAAAGGTCCACATCCAGGTGGTACTGACATCAGGGAGCACTCCAAAACCAGTTGCTGCATAAGAGTGGTTGCCACTGACAAAAGCTTGAAATAACCTGTGTTCACAGGGGGGAAAAAATATGGCATTGCTGCAAGTCTTTACTGGGATAGCTTGCAACAATAAAAGAGGGTGTATAGGGCAGCCCACATATGCAGAAAGTGTGATTCATGAAACATCTGGAAAGAGAAAAAAAAGAGTTAATGACAGCAGTAACAAGTATAAGCTCTGTGCAAACCTTCTATGGTATTATCAAAACTGGTTTCAAAACTAAAACCCCAGCATGCTATGGAAAACCAGGTCTAGATGTTTTAAACACAAGCTGCATTTTCTCTCACACCTCCCTTTCAACCTCAATATTCCATATTCTCAATTTCGGGTATTTTACCTTGGGGCCTTGCAGCTTAACAGCAAACAATGGCCATTTAAATTATTGAACACTTGGTAATTCAATGCTGCTACAGGGACCAGAAGAAAGAGATACTCACAACTGGCAGGCTGTTCTCCATATCGTCGCATGATCTGATCATGCGTGAACTTCACAAATGCGTCATATTGTTCTGCAAGGATGGAATGTAACAAGTATTAGTATTAAGTTTAAATCTAGAAGAATACTCAGGGCTAATTTTTATACACATAAACCACACAAGTTAAACACAGACCAAATTAGCAGTAGTTTTAAATAACTTAATACAGTTCATAGCTGCCACTTCTTTTTTATCCTCCAGAACAATTCAGCCAATGTCCCCTTAATCAAAAGACTCTCCCTTACAAACTTCTGTAAATGAGAAAGATGGCAGTAAACTCAAAGAGAATTATGCTGCACATAACAAAGACCTCAATATACCTCAGAGCTGCTAAGTAGCACACGTCATATTTTGAAGAAATGAAGTGTGCCCATTTTACAGATCCATAATGGGGGCAGAGCAGTTAAGGAAAACATGACATAAAGGTCAGTGCTAGGGTTAGAAACATAATTTGTCTGCTCCTACCACTACCAGATGTAAGAAAATTAATTTAATGAAATGGAAACACAAAAGTACAGGAAAGGGATTTGCTAAAAAGTTAAAAATTCTATTTGCTGACTGCCAGAAAATCAAAAGGAAACAAGAAACTAAAAGGATGAAATGCTAATTGACTAACTTTTGAGAAATTCTAATCACAAAGCAGCCGCTATGGGAGACATATACTTGACTGTGGACTGCATGAAAATGGTTAGTATGTCATCTGAAATTTTGATATGAAACATACTTGGCTTTTAACTAAGCGCTGTTATTTCCCAGAAAGGTTATTCCTTCTATACACACATACAAACAAATACATTCACAGTATTTTATTCAGTTTTAATACTGCACTCATCAGCAGGATATCACCTTTCAGAATTAGGAAATTGAACAAGGAGAGTAGTATCTACCAGATGCCGCTCCTCTCCATTCCCCTTCCTCCCTTGTGGAAAAATACATGTGCAGCAATGTGGGGTGTTCTGAGAAAAGGGCAAGGTCAAAGAAGGCAATCTTCAACCAAAAATGCAGTTAGATTTGTAGTGGTTCCTAGTCCCACAGGTTTGCCCCAATAAAGTCCCCATCCTCTTGCAGGGATGAGCTTCACCTTTGAAGTAAACAGGGTATCAGTAATCAGCAAGTAGTGCAGCAAAGACCGGAGCGGACCCAAAGATGTAAGGACATTCATCCCTGACCAAGGGAGCCTGTGGTCACGGTGGCCAGCTGCCCTCTGCCCACAAGCAGGACCCATTTCACTGCAGTTCTGACCAGTGGCTTTTCAGCAGCCATGCGAGAACTTCAGCCAAAAAACAAAATAACACAAAGAGCAGACTGAAGGATCTAGTGCACTGAAACCGCTTCAGAAAGTAACACCAACTAGAACTTTTCCTACAAGTATACACTGAAAGCCAGAATCGACCTTGCAAATGTTCTTCTATAAAGGCGGAGTCAGCATACACAGCTGCTTTGTAACTTCATCTTAGTTAGAACTATGGCTTTGCCAAATTTTTAAAAATCCAGTTACTGAAAAGCCCCATATTTGTGACATTCAGATTCAGAAATTAAGCAATCCAAAGGTAGGAGCAGCCTACAGTTAACTACTTGAGAATTCAAGTGAACACTGCACAAATACTTACATCACTGTATCATATACATCCTAACTATTTTAAGTTGGGTGGCTAAATGACATGAACACAAATACAATTACAATACCATAAAAAGCCATTTTTCAGAGATTGTTTTAAACTTTTCAAGGTAATGTTTTGTTAACGCTCTTGCAAAACCAAGTTTGTGCTAACACAGCAGTTTCAGGTAACAGAGGCAGGAAGAGAAATCAGGGCATTACAATGACCAGAGTCTTCCATTTACCAAACATTTACTCTGCATGAAAAGCAACTCTGCTTGCAAAGAACGTGGAAGAAGGAAAGAATAGGCCCTATTTAGCTAACTACCTACATGACAACACTCAGAAAATACCCGAGATACAAACATTCAGTTAAGTCATTTGAAAGAAGCTATTCAACTGAGATGTATTGTGGAATTTCCAGTTACCTTTCCTTTGACTTCACTTTGGTAACAAGGAGTATCACCTTACTGCACAAAGTTTAGAAAAGGATATAACCATTCTGTCAGCAGACAACAATAACTGGCCTTCCATGTAGGGAATTTCTAAATTCTTTTGTCAGTCTTTAAATTCTCGTGCAAGATCAAAAATATATTACCGGCTCAATATACGTGATGCAGTAGCATGATCTTCCTAATTGCTCTTTTGGTGAGCACTATGGTAAGAACAAGTAAACCTAAATCATCTCACTAAACCACAACTCCCAGATAGAATTCAATCCCCTCCCTTTCCCAAAAACAAACCAGACAATGCTCCCTTTGGGACTGAGAGACAGAGCACATGTAAGGAACTTATCAGAGGGGCTTCCTGTTTGTAAACAACTACAAGCTTGTACTCTAAAATTGTCTGGAACAAAAGTAAATCTATCTGGTCTTCAAATAGTTATGAACCCTGCTAAATGAAATGCATTTAAGAAAATACAAGAAATGACCCAATTCCTAACATATATAAATGAGCAGAAAAAGTTCTAGAGTCCTAATTCATCAGGCTGAAGCAGGTTATAATAAAGAACAACCCTGAAATGGAACACCAGACCCAAAGCAGCAGAAGTATTCACGGCATTAATTATAGTTTTAAATAGATGCAGCTTTAAGAGGGACATAGAACTACAGCAATTTCTTACACAGAGTGGCAGATCGGCAAGTGCAGAACATGAACAGAATCTTGGGTGCAGAGACAACACTATCACAAGCAACCCACAAGCCTGGTGACCTTCTGCATGTGCATGCCTGTAAAAGGTTTTATTCCCACCTGAAGAGACCTGCCAACTTTAATTCTGATGTGTTTTCAGGTGGGAAGCAGGACAGCTGTAGGTATTCAAAAGCACGTCTGCAGAACAGTGTGCTCAGATTTTCATTTTTATCACACTAAATATTAAATTAGACTCCAAATCATACTATGAAAGCACCTACCTCTGAATACACATGAATTTTAAGTGCTCAAATGCTAGCAAGAGGCTTAGAAGTAAAGGACCTCAAAAACTGAAGAAAGGTCCTGTTTACAATGCTGACATTAGCATGATCTTTATGGAAAGATAAGCTGGCTTCAGGTGCCTAGAATTTCAGCTGAATTGTATAAGAATTCAACATGGAACATCAGAAAAACGGTTGAATGGACTCTCAAGCAGATACCAAACACTGCTGGCAGCAGTGTAATGGTGAGTACTGGGAAGAGAAAGGGAAATCTTAGGTACTGTCATCTTGCCAAATTCCAGAAAAAGGAAGTCAGTTCCCAAACAGGAAAAAACAAAAAAAAAAAAGGCCTTCAAAAAGAGCTCTAAAGGCAGTCCCTCTGAAGAAGGAGGAAAAAAAAAAAAGTGAAACTGTCAATTCAGACACAAAATAGCAAGAGAAAGTTCTAACTGAAATAAAACCACTGTCTGCACTGAGTAGTAATAACTAAGAGTCATACTTTCTATCCAAAGCAGCACAGAAGGAAAAAACCTATCAAAGGGGGTAACCATCATTTTTTCTGTCATGTATGCAACCCCATTCCTTCACCAGGTTAGGTCAGAAAAAAAACACACACTATAACAAAAACAAGAGAAGTTTTAAGCTTTCAAATTCACTCTGACGTATCATTCTGAACTGTAAGATACCTGCAAGTTTTGTGGTCAAAATTTCTTCATACTCTTCACGGATTTTCTCTTCACGTTCTTTCAGCAAACGTTCACAGATCATTCCAACTTGTCTGAGAGTAAACAGGGGCTGTTCTTTTTTCAATGGTGATGATGCTGCAGATGAAGTACCTAAGAATAAATATTTGGGCATACCAATTTACAATTACAAGTACATCAGAACCATTTTTTTATAATCAGGTTTCTTCACACCTTTTTCATTTAAAGGAACTTTACAAAACATTTGAAGATTAATTTCTCTGCTATTTGATCCTACAAATTATTACTGAAGCAGAACTGGATGCTCAAAAAGGAAGACATCAGCAATGGACAACACACACAATCATCCAAGCCCCAAGAACATCACACAAACACTACAAACACCATTTACATGGCAGTTGCCACATACAAATTTAAGCTTCTACTTTATATAAAAATTATAGTACAGTAATTGGTGCCTAGACAGCTGCTCTGCAAAAGCCTATTACAGTACCAGTGACAGAGCAGGCAGGATGGTCTCCTGAAAAGAGTGCCATTTTTGCCTGACCCATTTTTAAAATTAAACCCTATCTCCCAAACCAATGCCATTACTGCCAAAATAAGCAGCAGTAACTAGTGGGAATGTGTCATAACACAACAGGCAACAGGGAGAACTATTTACTCAAATGGAATCTGACAGAATAACAGAATATAGCAGAATTACACACAATTGATGGCCAAAAAACAACAGTAACTGGTGAGAAGGTGCCATAAACCTCCAAGTAACTAGAAAAAGTTGTTTACATAAGTAGGGTCTAAGAAAACATAGGAAAATTACACAGAATTATCTGAGTACCTGGCAAAGCTGGTCCAGTGAGGAGAAATGCATGTGGCTGTGCATCAGTAGAACAACAAGGATCTGTCTGCTGGAAGCTATTTTCTAAATGTCTTCTCTTCTGCATGCGTTTGTACTCCTGTTTTATGTTGTACAGAATTTGTTCTAAAAAGGGGAAAAAACCAACAAAAACAAACAACCCTAAAATAATTATCTTTACATTTCACCATTTTGCTTGATTTCCACTTAAACATCAAATGCTGTAGATAAATAGTACATAATAATGGATAGACACTCTTAAAGTATGACCTGCAAAAACATTGTTTTACCTAAGACGTAAAACCATTAATCTGATTAAAAGAAAGGTAACCCAGGCTGTTTCCACCAGGAGAACACTAGCAAAAATATTCTTATTTAAGGTGAGGCATTGGTACCAGAGTACTGCTAACAAAAAAACCCCAGCATCCTAAAATTTAGGAATGATACAACGTGCATGGATAAAAATTTGGCTATAAAACTTATACTGGTATTAATTATCCTTGTTTCATATATTTAATCTTTAATTTAATCTTTCACTCCCACACAGCATTTATCACTCAAAGAGTTAAGAGTAACAAGACACTCGAATAAAACATCCACATGAACTGCCATTCCGCTCTGTGGGCTGAATGTCTACAGGCAGCACAGTGAAGAGGAAAACACAATCTAGACAATATGCATTAAGTACCTACTGCTTAAAATATCAAAGAGCTGGAAACTGACAGGAAAAATACAAAAGTCTTCCACAACATTTTTGACAGTCTCAAATTTATCCAAATAAAATACAGAGATGGACCAACAGTCTCTTTTAAAGGAGTATGGCAATATGCAGCACAGCTTTTGACTGCAATTAATAAAGTACGGCAAGTTATTTTAAAAAACACATCTCCACTATAGAATCGTAAGGAATCAACTAATCCTTGCAACAGGAACTACCAATCTGTGTGTCTTCTCTCTGAAATTCTACATACCAAATGGCTCTCAGGTGCATCAATGGCCTAACTGCATATCCCCTGGTAATGTAAAATATTCAAGAAAAAAAGGGATTTTTTTTTTTTAATTTCTTCCCATAAAAAAATTTCCAAAGATTCTCATCCTTTATGAGAACTCTTACTTTTAAATGCTCAAATGCTTCAAGAAAAAATTGCCCAACTGGCTTTCAATGACACTTCTAGACTTTTTAGCAACAACAACTTTCCAAAACTCAGGTACATATAAATTCACATAATCATGTTGAAGTTACAAAGGACTCCACTCAGACCCTTCCTATTTCTGTCACATTTTGCCAATACAATACCATGAAAACTTAAACCAAATTTCATCTGGTAATCCATATGCTACTGAGGTTCCATATCTGAACATTTCTAATAAGGAACCATGTGATGCAGGAAACTTCAGCTACCACCTTCTTCAGACACTGGCTGAAGCCTCTGCTAGACCAAGTGGAAGCAAACACTTAACAATTCTCAGTTCAATGTTTAAATACTGACATGGTTCAATTCCACGAGTCAGTCTAGAGATTTCCAATTTATAAAAAGAGAGAAAACTGTTTTGAGTCAACAGGAGTGCCAGCAAAAGAACTTCTTGGATTTTGTCCATTGATTAAGGACTTCATATCTTTTCAGTCCCAAGCCTGCAGCTGTAAAATTTTCAACTCTCTAATGGGAGGTCAGTAATATGGTTCAAAAAAGCAGCAAATGCAGAAGACAGTAATAAAACAGTAATAAAAAAGCACAGCAGGTAAATTAAGAGTCAAAACCACAAGAAAGTGGTGTGGGGGGATGGAGGATTCATACTTTCTGTAGGACAAGATATAAACACTCCTGTACAGCACCAAAGCACATAAATCATGTTAAACCAAGATGCAGCCAGGCTTCCAAAATTAAATGGAATTCCATGCAAAGCTGATCATGTGCATACACACATCACTCAGAGAGGCCTAACAATATTTATACTCAGTGGCATTACGGTGGCAGAACAATACTTCTCCTCAAAATCAGCTACTGCTCTGGCTCCAGTGATACTGAATAATTCTGAATGGGAACCCAATTAGCTCATGTGATCATCTGTCCTAAAGCATGTTTACACTATGAGAAACATGACTGCACATATTCACATTGCATTTGTATTAACTGAAGAACCTAATGGACCATGACCAGCCTTCATGATGACTACTTTGTCCTGGCCATGCTTTCTGAACTCCATGTGAACTGCAAAAAAAATCAGCCAAATTTCAAGTGCAACAACTTGAAAATATTTTCTACAGTTCTCCTTTCTTTTATCTTTTTGCAGAAACATTCTCATACCACATTAACCACCAAAATCACTAAGGACAAAATGGACTCTGGTCAACTGATGAAACTGCAAGAGTTAAATCAATAATCATATGCCATATCTCCTCCACTCCTAACAAAACCTAGAAAGTAAACAAGGAATAATTTAGAGAAAATGTTAAAATACCAGCCAGGACAGAAGGAACAAAAGCAAGGAGGAGTGTGTGGGAGAAACAGGGAAGAGGAGGTAGAGAAATCAGGTGTGGACTTTGGGAAAACAGTAACAACTAGTTACAGAAAAACAAGATTTGTGCACCAGGGACACGATTCTATTCTAAATTATACTGAATTGTGGACAAGAAGTCTCAATGATATCACAGCAATTTCATCTACTTGTAATTTGGCAACACTTTTTAAATTGCCACCTTCAAATCTTGCTGTAAAAATCAAAAACCTCAAGAAACACTACTGACAGATCTGGGAGATCCCCATCCTGACAAAATCACTTTTAACAGTTAGCATTACTATGACTTCAGCTGAAGGTATAGAACCAAGCAAAGTTTAAGAGAAAGGACTATTTAAACATGACATTGACTACACTGCAAACTGCATCGAGGAGAAAAAAGCCTGAAGTGTTGAGCACTGACTGAACACTTGCTAAGCTTGCCCATAACCTGGTTTGGTAAATGGTATTCCTCTATTCAGACTAACTTAGAAGATTTAAGGCACAACTTCTCAGCACAGAGAACTGGACTGTAAAGCATACTCAGCACCTTGCCGATAGCAGGCAAGAAGACTGACTCATCTCATACTTCCCTATTTCTACCACTAATAAAATGGAGATTAACAGTTAAGAAATCCAAGTTTAACATAGCCTCAAACTTTCACTGACATCTCACATGAACGATGAGACCAGGAGTGTTTCAAATAAAGCAGGCACATTTTTATATCAGCAAAGACTAAGTAGACATTCTTATTAACCTACAGTAGCATAAAATCTTAAGACTTAAAACTACTTCTGTTTGAAGTGAAATGTAAGCCTGCAAATATTTATGACTCATTTTAAATGAAAATCTGAGAGCCAAATTAAAATAATCTAATACAATAAGAAAAACTACTTAAATGCACCAAGTTACTTCTCTCATTTACTGTTCTGTTTTGTAATTCCACACAAATATATTAACATATTTTTATAGCATCTCAGAACTTGCAGGAAGCCATGAAATATTAAGGTAGTGCAAACCATACACCTTCTGAACACCACCAATACTATACAGCAGACATCTAACTGTAAAGAATTTTAAAACTTTGACCCAGTTAAACAAAGCTTAGACTCAGTAGATCCAACATACTTTTGCTTCCAGAAAACCTTCCTGCTTTTTCAAGTTCAGTTTTTTAACTTCTCTGGCTTCCAATTAGTTCTGACTGCTCTCTCTGCAGTGTACAACTAACTTAAAATGTGCACTGAATTGGTGTCAAACACAGCACAGTTTTATGTGCCTCAGTGTGGAGGCCCAAATTGTCCTTTAAAACAATGACATGCATTTTAATTATTTTACATGTAAAATCTTAGAATCCGAAAGTACACTTATTAAAAAAATCTACTGTCACCCTCTCCAAGACTATAAAATTTAAGTGAGAACTTGTATCACATATATCACAACTTATTAGATATTTTAAATAAAAGCTTTTATATCCATCTTGAACATACACTGAAGTTCAAATCAGATATTGTACATCAGACAAGAATTGATCTGAGATTACAAAAGGAATATATTTAATATGATGAAACACACATCACTGTGGCCTATCCTCAGTTTCTTTGTAATTTCAGTCTACCCCGTGTGCTCAGTGTTTCCTACTGGTTACAGATGCCTCTGAAAGCGCAGAGCTATTTAACAGGAAACACCAGGCAGAGTGCTGAAAGTGAGAATCAGACTTGCGAATTTGGTGTGACAGCAAGAAAAAGCTACATCAAAATGAATTAGTACTTCATAAATAGCATTTCAAATTCAACATGACTGTGAATCTCTACCAATTACGCAATAACCTGTTTTATGTCCCCCTTCTCCTTCAGAAGGAGACTGCTATTGTCTCACCAGAACCACCAAAATCATTAGGGATTCAGTCAAATATACCCAAATGTAATGAAATACATGGATACTCTTTCATTATCCAGAGCTGTGTACTGAGAGCATGAAGTTAAATACACAGGTTCTTTTAATTCTGCATTAAGATCTTTCAGAACTTGAGATGCCATTTGGAGAACGAAGATTTCCGAATGGAGAGGATGAAATATGAACAGGGCAAATTAGACTTCAAGTTTGACATCTCAAATATGATTGTCACACTAATGGATTACAAAGCAGTCTTCCTACTTTCTTTAATTCATGACAAGAAGTTAGTATTTTTCAAAATTCTGCCATCTAATTACTTCACCCTGACCTGTAATTACTGAGAAATTGTGTACAAAGGAAACAGCAGTTCAACTTAAAAAGTTAAAAAGGCAAACAATTATTTTCTCAATTTAAATAATTGCTTATCTACTATGAAGGTGCTGATTGTTTCACCTGAAGGACATTCTACTTTGGGCTTGATTTTTAAACTATCCATCTCTCATCACAGTTCCTGACTTCTCTCATTTAGCTAAAGGAAAATTAAGGAAAACACACAGGAAGGCGACTCAATGCATTGAAATCAGAGTAGCAGTCTTCCAGGCCTAAAATGGAACCTTTAGCTCAGGTTTCAGTTGGCAATGTCACCATTCAATGTATGCATTCAAACTTGAACCATGCCTGAGATTTTTCTAAGTAATCAATCAAATGCCATCCTGATGTCAGTGGCATACATCTT